CCAAGGAATGGAGCCAGCTATCTACGGAGGAGACCTCTGAAACCGTGAGCACTGAAGTAAACATTTTTCTTGTCAGGTCTTTTAGTCACAGCAGCAAAAAGGTGATTAAAATAGACACACCACAGTCCAGGGCCTCCAACAGTGCCCGAGACATAAAACCTTCCATATGCTTCTCAGTGAGTGAATGGAGACTAGAAAAAAATGAAGAAAGGAATCATGTCTGTCTCAAATGTTGGTGTCTCATCCTATACAACACCCTTCTACTTTTGTTGCTGAACTTGGATAGAATCCTGTGTCTCTGTGTTTCTATCTTTGAGCACAATATAGCATAGAAAAACATTCACTTAATTTCTTTTGTGTTTGAATTAATTTAGTTGAACTTCAAAAATAAATTGGAATGCAGTGGAAAAATGAAGGATAAGCATTTCTAGCTAGTAATGGAGCTAATATTCTCCTGCCCTCAAATGGTAGCACCCATGATTTATAGTTAATGTCTAAGAGGTAGTTCTCAACTCCAGGAAAAACTTTATCCTAGAGAGATGGATTCTCTAGGATAAAGATAAACCATTTAATACTGGTTCTGTGAAGGTTGGCTTGAAATTGTAGAATTCACAGAATTATTGACTTCTATTAATTATTTACTAGGTTCATGGTAATGTGTATTTCTCAGGCTGATTCTTGCAGCCTTGGTGGATTTTCTCAGCAGCTCTTTTGAACTGGTCCTATCCAGCTCAACAACTATTTCAGGTGTATTTGGGAGTACACATGACATGTGCTCTGTGTCAACTAAATAATGGGTTTCTCCAGAGGCAGTTTAGCATCCTCATTCTTACCAGTGTTCTACTAGGTGGGCCATGACACTATGGCGTAGAGATCCCTCTCCACATGCAGAATTTTGCTGACTGGGAAAGTAGATATATGTAATGAGTAACATGCAGTGAAATATTTTTTGAGCCAGAAGCTAAAACTGTGAGACAACATTCACTGGTGTTCAACCTTCTACAATGGGCTGAAAACTCTCACATGCATGGCTTCGGTAATAGGACCAGAAAGGCCTGTATGATTCTTCTAAATATATGGAAATATTTCAATGATAAATTGTAGTGGCCAACCGGGGAATTAAACAGAAAAGGTGGTGGGCTACATTGACAAAGTAGGAAAAGAGAGAAATCCATCCTTTATGACATCTGTAAATTGATAAAAAGAAACACAAGAAGATTAGTTTACATGACAAAAACTCATTCTGAAAATCCATACTCCAGCAGTGTGGAAAAACACCGAAATATTCTGAAATTTAAATTGTTCACTGACATTGATTTTAGATGACCATTGGAAAGGGCGGGTGGAACAAACTCTCCATGGTAGGCCCTGGAATGCTACTTTGGCACTCAGAGACACCCACATGGTGCCTGCTTCCAGCAAACACCAACAATAGTGGCATACTAAAGATGTCACAAAGAAACACAAGGAATTATAGAAGTCTATGTGACCATAGACTCCCTGGTTCTCCATCTCATCCTGCGTGACCACATAGAGGACACCTCACCTTAATCCTCCTGAGAAGGCGGGAAAGAGGGGCTGGGTCTAGCAGAATCAGATGCAAAAGGGGAAGGGTTAAACATCTGCAGGGAGAGCACTAAGGCCAGGACAGGTAGGGGGTCAAGTCCCTGCTTTCAACCCATGAAGGCACAGAATGCCCAGAGGTAGGAGAAGGAGGAAGTGTTGGTCCCAGAGAATTCCTCTCCTACCTTCTTCCCAGGGTCCTCTTATCTCTGGCTTTGGCCATGCCTTTGGGTTGTGGTGAAGGGTGTCAGTGAAAGAGTGTGACTGTGATACTTGTGAAGCAGATAGGAGACAGTGAGAGACGGATTGGCCTCTCAGCCAGCAGGAGACCTGCACAGAGAAAGAGCCTGGGACCATAAATCATCATCATCTTGATCAAGGTGGTCCTGTTAGAGGGAGAC